TTGAGCTATGCACCTTTCCATCAAAAGACGCCATTGCTCGGACATCTCTTATCGGACCATTACGCTGTTGTACAACACGGAAATCATTTCCTGCCTAAATTCTCAGGTCGGTCATGTGGCAAAGTGCTCACTTCAAAGAAATGAAACCTCACTATGTGCTTGATGCTTATTATTCTCGGATCAACACCAGCTGCATGTATACGATCTTCACATAGAACCAAGCAGAGTATTTCGGACTGATGGGTTTCCAAATTCTTAAGACGAACGTTAACCAACTTATTGGCATGGCGGCGCTGTTCGGCTTTAAGAGGGCATTTTGCACTTCTGCTAGTTTCTCTTGTTGAATCTGTTAAGGTAGACGCCTCAGCTTGGTGAGATCTGCGAACGAAGCTCCTGCTTGCATAGCTTCGGATTCAACAGCTATGCGCAGGAGGCATCGATAGTGATCGATGGAAACCAGCGAAATGCCCCCTTCAAGCCGAACTACGCTAGGCACGGCTATCAAGTACAGAAAGAACTTTTGGAGGAATATTGTACGGACCGATACTAGTGCTCCATTATGGAAGTTCCAGAATGATACAACGCCACGAGAATCCCCACTGGCCAGAATGTTATCGTTAAAAAAACAACAACTCCATACGATTGTTGGAAGCCGCTTCTCCTGAAACAGGTGGTCCAATAAAGTCTGTAAGCGAAAAAAGCTGCAGCACTTCAAGTGCGACTTACCTTTCTGGGAACCACCAACTTATGTGCGACCGAATTATTTTTAACCACAAATATGCTATCCATAGCTCCTACAGCAATCTGAAATTAAAATATTGCACTCTAGGTGACCAGCATCCAATGGCGCTGTGAGCCAAAAGAGGGCCCTCAAGGGCTCTGTTTCGCTCATGGGAAAGCGATAAGTACGGCTATCCCTTAATACGTTTTAATTGGATGCAACGCTTGTCCTCAATGCTCGCTGTCTTAACCCTCCAAGCGAACAAAAAGGCTAACTTAAAAGCACAGTGTACGATGACAAGAGGACTACTGTGGCGCTAAAATATGAACTATGAAGCTCTGAACAACGCGATCCCAGGAAGTCAGAAAACCGTGAAGAATGCCAAAGAAGCTATCCGGGGACCTATGACATCTCACCAGTTTGATAGCGCTCGGACGAGTTTTCCTTACTGAGTTTGAAGGCAAATGCAAACGGATCGATAACAGCGCCAAATTTGCACCCTCGTATGCATTTGAAGGGCTTATCATTTCTTTAGACATGAACGACAATCTGCCAAGAGTATTTTCTGTGACGAATTTCGCTTCAATGCGAGTTTCGTTTCTTTTTTCTTTTTCTTTCTATTTTTCGTTTTTCTAACTGTTAGATGGTATTTAGTACTGGATGATGCGAAGAAATTATTAGTGAGCCAGAGGCGGCGGGATATCGCGTCGCTTGCGTGAAACGAGCAGGTCCGAAGAGCTGCAATCGCGGGGTTTGCCTTCACGCTGACAGCCTAGGAGTAGAAGGCGACCCTGGTGAAGCAAGCAGATAGCGCACTCGTCCGGGAAGCGGGAGATGTGGGTAGAGTCCCGCTTGGGGTCAGACTTTTGCTCATAATTTAGCATTCTTGCGATCAAGAATATTGGAAGGAACATACCACATCTTTTCTGCTACAAACAGAAAATAGCCGTTGATCAACTCCGAGAGATATTGTCGATATTGCTGCCGACTCCTCAAGGCTAAATATGAATAAAGCAGCAGAATGCGATACTAAAGCAGCCTGAGATGAATTGATGGCGCACGAAGACCACAACGGTGACGGACAAATTTGCACTCGCTAAAGAGTAAAAGTAGTTCTTCACCCAAAAAATGAGGGCACATAAAACCGTGAACCTACCCGTGTGTAGTCCGAATGTGGATCAGCTATCGTAACAGATCCATTCAAATGTGTACAAAGAATTCGATCCCCAACAAAACATACAGACTCAATTCCACCGTTGTCTGGACAAATAATCTGAAAACGAATGTGCAAAATTACCAACTGTTTCAATCATCCGGTTCTGCGCACTAATTACTACAAAAAGTTGAAAATTCTAAACCAAATCTCTTTGCAACCTTCCCGAACAGGGTACAGCATTGCGATGTGCGGAATGGTGGTCAGTGCGACCCTTCCCCCACCTAAGAGAGGGTCTCAGTACGACCCACCCCCCTTTCCCAACACACCTACCAATTTTCCCCCACATTTTCTAGTTTTTCATCCAAAAATCTCGCTGTCGAGCGGGGGGGGGGGGTATAGTATACATGAGAACAGGAAAAATCACGAAAAGTCAACAACCGGGAAAGATTTTTCCGAACGCGGCAAATTCCTCTCAAAGCCACATACGACGACTCCCTCTCTCCCAACAACAACCAAATACGACCCCCCTCCTCCCAGCGAAAAAGTGCGAGCCCCCTATGT